GCGTTTGGGACTGATGTTCCTACAGCCAACATGGAGCCTGAATTGGCTTCATTCACACAGTGCATGGAATCCTAGTTTCCATTCTCTTTCTGATTCAGATGGACACCTCATCTATAAAATGTAGTCTCTGCAATCTGACAGGCTTAACTAACTTATCTCATAAATTGTAGTGGGTGTGAGATAGATGGATAGATGGATGGATAGATATGTGACTTATGAATGTTGAAAACTATGATATTTGGAGAATATTAGGGTACAGAGTAAATCTATATAATTCTCTAATGAATTTATAGTAAGTTAAATATCTATTTTCATTAATTGACATATACTTAATGGCAATTCCTTCATTAAAAAGCTATGTGATAATGATGTATTGCATGAGTGAGTGAACCCTAGCCCCTGGACCATATCTAGGATGCTGCCTCAAGTTTTACTGAAAGAGAATGTAGGGCAAAGCTTTACTCCAGCACTTTGGTGACTGTTCATGATTGCACAGAAGTCACAGGGAAAGACTTAATTACAGCTACCTGCAGTACTCTCCGTGATCCTCCCCAATCCTAAGACATGGGAAGATTACCAGGAGCTGCTACAAAGCCTTTCTGCACCTGCCTTCCACCTCTCTGTGTTCAGGGAGGCTGTTGTGAAGAAATCTGACACAGTATTCAGGTTCTGATGTAGTACAGGCTTTCTGATCTGCCCTCAACTAGGCCACAGCTGCAGGCTCTCAAATTGCTCTGTTGTTAATGGAATCACTCTGGGGCAGCCCAGTGACCTGAGTATTCTATTGCATTGTCACATGGCTCCATCAACAGTGTCTTCTGGTATGACACTGTCCTACCTGTCTGCTCTTACTCGGCCTCCTAGGTAAGCTATGAACTGTGTGAATCAAAAAATAGCACATTGCTTCCTTGCCTGTGGACTCTCTCATCTTTGCTTGACCCATAGCCTTGCCCAGTCACTATGGTCATGCATCAGAACAGAGCTGAGTTCTTGCAGCAGAGACCTTATACCTGGGAGGCCTAAAATATTTTCTTTCCCTTTGCAGAGAAAGTTTGCTGAGCCACAGTTTCAGTCAGTGCAAAGTCCTTACAATGGTTTTAAAAGTCTGAGCCAGAAGTCCTCCTGTCACTGGTCCAAACATTCTTTTGCTTAGACTTGGAGCTTCAATTATCCTACCACTTGGAAGGCTTCCTGGTGTGTCAAAGAAATAACAACCTGATTTCTAGGCATGACTGTCACAGCCCAAGTCCTGTGGTCATTCTTTGTTTACTGAGGCAGTGAAATGATCAGTGAGGTCTTTGCTAGAGTCTATCTTTCCTGTAAGTAGCAGGTGGAGATTAAGTTAGTGACTGATTTCCTGTGTCCCCCTATGGAGTTGCCTTTACCCACTTTAATGGTCACAGACTGTATCACAGAGCCTTCCCCCTGAGCGAGGTGCTCATAAAGTGACCCTCAGTAGGCATCAGCTTCCCTACTGTCCACTGTCAAACACTGAACCAGATCTGGAATGCCAGATCCCAATTGGCTCAAAAATTAGTAAGTACTAATTCGCTTTATGAAATGTATATGTATATCTGGTCAGTCAGTCCTAATATAAAAAAGGATATGCATGGATAGTAAGTTTCCCTTGTACATTGTCCCAAAGGTAATGACCCCCAAGGAGAGAAGACTACCCCAAGAATAGCTCCCAATGGAGACTCACTTTGGAATACTTTAGAAAAGTAGGATATTGAAATTTCTGTGTCTGATCTGCCTCATCTCAAGGATAGAGAAGAGTCTAGTGGAAGGACACCTTGACTTTATAGTTCTGGCTTTCCTGGTACTAGCTAGCTCAACAGCGCCCACCTGAAAGTGCACTGGAGTAACTCCTCCATGAGATCTGGTCATGAATGTGATATCCTCATTGTGCCAGAGACACAGAGAAAACCAAAAATACAGTATGGGCCCTGAGGGTAGAAAGTCCAGCTCTGACATTGGTCTCATGTTGCAGAAGCTTTGTCACTCTGGCCAGGACACCAAAATCTGAGCTTCCACTGTCTTTTCCAAATGATAGGAATGATGTGTTACTCTCAGGGTCAGCATCATGAAGCATCAAGGAAAATGGCACTGCGACATATCCATGGAAGAAATTTGTGAAATCATAGGAATTATTATCACTTGTAAGTTTTAATAGATGTCATTGTGAATTGTCTTTGAAAAACAGATATTTGAGAAAATGAAAAAGGTAAGTAAGATTCTGAAGGCTCACTTGATCATTCAAGTATCGTATTTGCCAGGTGTCTGAGGCTCACACCTGTAATCCTAGCTACTTGGGAGGCAGAGATCAGGAGGGTCACTGTTCAAGGATGGGCTGGGCCAATAGGTAATGCCACCCCATCTCCAAAATAATCAGAGGAAAATGGACTGAAGGCGTGGTTCAAGGAGTTACTTGCTTTGTAAGCCCTGAGTTCAAACCCTGGTCTCACCAAAACAAAACAAAACAAAACCAAGGACCGCACTTATATTCAAGGTGGACAAACTGCCCCATGTTTTGCCAAGATACCCATCCCTACTCTGGCAATAGAAACTTCATCCTACAGATGGCTCAGGCCTGTGTCTTCCTGTGACTACCCTGTGTCACACCTCCCTCAAAAGTCACCACTACAACTCTGAGCTCACTGAGCTAGAGCTGGAAGATCATTTAGTTAAACTCAGTTTCTCTTTTTAAGTATTTTGAAAATTCATTTACAAAATTGATTTTTCCAACGCTAAAGGAAATTATTGTTATTCTACCACGGGAAGTACACTTGACAAAGAAATTACTACAACATACCCAATTTTTATCATATTCCTATTAAGTGTATTTTGTTAGGCAGATTTCTGGAAAATTAAAATTGCTTTTTGTCAAAAAACCTTACCACTTTTTCTTGTAATGCTTATAAAAATCTGGTCATACAGACAGTTTAGAAATACAGGTTCTGTTCTCAAGTGAGTGTTAACTATGGGCATCTGTCTTTCTACTGGAGGACTATGATGAGGAACCACATTGGAAGGAATTCAGAGGGATGTCTAAGTCACAATATTTAGATTTTGTTTCTCAAATGGAACATGAAGGGTCAAACACAAGCCTACACACTTGAGAGCAGACTCTGGCTTTACAATGGAGTTTTCATCTCTTGCTGCTGTGCTCTGAGCTGGTGAACAAGAAAATGGCAGGGGGACTCTGCTCCCCATAGAACTGTGAAACTCTCCTCCTCCCAGGAGGCTAATGAAGACAGACAAGTGCCTCATTCTCCTTGAAAGAAAAGGAGGACTATGGACTCCTTCTGGCTTCTGGAAGGCAGCTGTGCTCACCACTATATCACCAATGCTCCTCCTGGCCTCTGAGCCAGGGGTACCAGCTCCTGTGGATTCACAATGGGCCTGAAGTTCAGCTGCATGGAAGAACAAGATACCATGCCTTCTTCATGATCTGACACAGGACTCTTTCCTGAGCTTCACAGTCTGGTGTAACTCACACTCAGTGAAGCAAAGTGACATGAAAAGGACAAATTGTCCCATGTTTTGCCAAGATACCCATCCCTACTCTGGCAATAGAAACTTCATCCTACAGATGGCTCAGGCCTGTGTCTTCCTGTGACTACCCTGTGTCACACCTCCCTCAAAAGTCACCACTACAACTCTGAGCTCACTGAGCTAGAGCTAGAAGACTGATGCCCTTCAAGCTGCATTCAGCTTATGACCTGCCCATCAGCTATCCCAATTCTCTCTGTCATCCATGGAACCAGCAGCAAATGGAGAGGCATAATTCCTATTCTAGACTAGCCTTGTAGGAGGCATGAACCAGAACAAAGTGCAAACAGTCATTGGTTAAATTTTGGAAGCAGGCATACATAAAGTTGGCTTTAAATAAATATCACTATTTCTTATTAATGTTCACAATAGCATTATCACTCAAGTGGCAGATCCTGGTATTCTTTTACTTCTCTCAAATACCAGAGCAGATGTTATAGATGGATTTAATTTCCTAGAATCTCCTTGAGGGAAAACTGAGATGAGTACATATGAAGACCTTCCTTTTACACAAGAATCCTTCTTAAGAACCATTCAGACTGTGGTTTCCTCCAGGGAAAACTTTTGTCAGGGTCAGAGTATTTATGCAATTTCCAACATCAAAGTTATAGTCACATTTATTATGTATACAACCCCTTTCTCTTTCCTAAGCACCTAGACTTGCATGCTTCTCACTTAAACTTCAAAGGTCACTATAGTCAATGATGGACACTGATGGAAAATAAAAGCATAGGGGCCAGAGAGGAGTGGGGAGGAGCAATGGCACGGAGGTCTTCCTGTGCCTCCCGGCCTTCCTTCCCTCATTCTCTGTAGCCTGCCTGCATGACGCTAGAGCCTCAGGACTGAGGCAGCAACCAATAGAACTGGTGTCCAGTACTACATCCTGTGGGTGTCCCACAAAGAAGATGCCACAGTTCAGCATTGACCCTTCCCAGGGACTTTATCAGAAGAAGAGACTTGACCTAGGGGGACACACACACTTTACAACATTCTGTAATGTTGTACACGCACGTCTGGATTGTGCGTGTGTGTATGTGTGTTCAAATAAAATATATATATATATATAATGTTGGAATACCAAATATCATACTATCACTGATATTTAGATCATGTGTTATACTATTCATAATGTTATATAAAAGTAGTATTTATTATAATATAAATATTTATATTTTTGTTAAGTGTCATGACGCACTTAATTAATTGTCACTCTCATGACTACAAACAGATGTTACTAACATGATTTCTCCTGGGAAGACAACTACAGGATTAATTGTCAACACAGGAAATCTGTTTGCTGGAAAGACCCTGCCTCCTGGGGTGTGCATGCAGATAGACATCAAGGTCCTGGGGCCAATCCACCTCGGGGCATTTGACAGCCTTCCTGGGTCCTTTGCCCTCTCTCTTTGTGGTTCTTTCTTACTTACCAGCCCCCAGGAACACTCTACCTGCGTGTACGATGGAACTGGCACCTCTTCAGTGGGATCTTGACCATGTGCTCCTGCAACCCCACAAACAGTACACTCTGGCTGTGGAGGATCTGCAGGCTCCTGATGGGTTCCCGTCTCCTCTCTGGGAAGAGCTCAATCTCCTCCAGCAAACAGCTGCCCGAGGTCTGATTCAGGGGTGCCCGCACTTTCTTAATGGTGCCGTAATCTGTGAAGGCAACAGGGAAGGAAATGAAGTTAATGGGTCTCCCAAACCACTTGTCAGCTAAGCAGAGTACACAGAGCACACAGCATGGTTCTCCAGTCAGAAAAATCATCTGAGCATTTTTCAGAACTGCAAATGCCAGGCCTTCATGAAAGACCTACTCATTTGGCCCCCCTGAATGTGGGGCCCAGGCACCAGTATTCTTTGAAACTCTGGAGGGATGCTAATGCAGAGCCAGGGATGAAAACTGCTTATCTACCATTTGCCTCTGTGATTGCAAATCCAGGAACTGATTGCAAATTAAACCTTGCTGTGGCTCAAAGTTGCAAGTTTTATGCTATTCTGTGGAGACTATCAGGAGAGAGAAGTCCTCAAAGGACAGTAATGGATTTCTGGTGTCAGAAGTGCTTACTTTGCTGCCCAGGCAGGGAAGACACAAAGTAATTGACAAGTGCAGATATACAGGACAAACGTGATGTAAATGCCTCCTTCATGCATGGGGAAATGCATCCTTTTCCATCTCTCTTCCTCCTCTGTCTTCATCAGTTCCTTCTCTTCCTCTCTATCTCTGCTTCTTTGGGATACTTTTATTGATCTCCATGTTCTTGGTCCTTTTCTGTGCTTCTGAAACTGATCCATTTCTGACCTAATACAAACGCTCCTGGCCTCAGGTTTTTTGCTCACTGGTGTGCATGTGCATTTCTTTATGAGTTTGGCTATGAATGCTGCTGGAGGGTGAGGGTCCGCTGAACCATGCAGACTCTGCAGATGGGCTGTGAAGGGAAGTGTCTTTTCAGCTTTCCAGTGAGGGGCACAGTAAGGCCAGCACTCATGTCAGGGGGGCACAGGCTTGAAGACAAACCTGTGGTGTGGTGCCCAGTGCTGCTATTCTGCAAAGCCAGTGACTCAAGTCCCAATATGTAGAAGCATCTGAAAAATCCATGATGAAGTACCTGGAGTTATCCTGAGTTCACAAACTAAACAAAACCCATCATGATCCCAAGTTTCAAATCACCACAAGTCTTACATTATAAACACAGAAGAATTTATCCTAAAACCAGAAAAAATAATCAAGAACCTATGGCTTGAGGAGACTCCAATTAATTAAGCTTAAAACACGTTGGGCAGAAATACATTTTTCCTGTCTCCATTAAAATCCTTAGAGACAGAGGTGATTTATGATTAAAAAGAAAATACATATGCATATATTTACAAGTCTGAATTTAGGTACAATGAATATATGAAACACCTCCCTGAACATATACTAAACGGTATGTATAATCTTGTACACAGTATCAGTAACAATTGCATAATTTTATTTCAAAGTAGCTGGTTAAATATGTTACTTTTCAAAAAGGTCAAGCATGTACTGAAACCTGCTTTATGCCTGGAAGATTAACAACACAGCACCTCATCCAGTCTTTGATGGATGAGTGTGTACCTGTGTGCACTGGAGAACGAGAGAGAGAGAGAGAGAGAGAGAGAGAGAGAGAGAGAGAGAGAGAGAGAGAGAGAACCAACAGCAAATATTTTAGCAAATTCACAGATCACAAATATAAACATTTAAGAAAATTTTCATTTCATTATTCTACAATGCAACTTCATTTTGACTTGTTTGTTGATCAGAGTTCATGAGCTTATAGGAAAAATTAATGTCAGAGACTTGAGATCTTCCTGCAAGGATGGGGCTAAACAGCAATAAACTTACACAGAAGCGAAGCAGTGACAGGACAAGAGGAAAACTCTAGGAAGGTGACATCAGCACAGACAGGACCCTGACAGGAAGTCTCCAGAAGGCACTAGCAGATGCAGGTGTCAGCTTCCCAGGGAGCAATGACAGGCACACCCTCCAGTAACCCTTTGGAACATCCGTGCAACAGGAGACCTGTCAGCCAAGCTGAAGGTGAGGAGCAGAAGCAGCTGACTACCCCCTGGAGTGAGGCAGAACTTTTTATAGTAATTCCAAGTTGGGGTGGAGGGTATAGCAGTGGGAACCCAATTAGAGAATCACCACTTTATGACAGTCACCAACCTAGTATGGCATGGCAAACATGGGTTATAAGCTATTCAACAAAAGAACCCCTGGCTGTCTGTTATTTATTTTGTTGATGGATTATTATTATGAAAAACATGCCCAAATTAATAATAGCCCCAATATCAATATCATATGCATTTCAAAATCGAAAAAAAGGACCAAATTTTAAAATGAGTTTAAATGCTTACTTAAATTACTCATCATTGATCAAAAACCATCTCCACATATCTCTGAGCACCTTGTACTTCATTTTCCAGCAGACAGCATCCAATAAAACTATAGAGCTCAGCACTTCAGCATGGCTTCATTGCTAGTCTACAACCTGGGACTTTGTTGTGTCTTCCTTATCTCTGGTCACCTGGTTGCACAGTGAGTCCCCTCTGAAGTCCCCCTGTCCCTCAGCATCAGGATCAGCACACTGGGACCTCAGTGGATTGCAGGAGCTTCTTCTTGTCTCCTTGCAGCCTTCTCTTACTCTGCTTGTGCCTCACTCTTGCTTTGTGCTCATGTACCCTCCTTCATGGTCTTTGTATTCTCCTGTGATGATCCTCAGGACAGTTACAACCACCTCAGTCTTCCTGGACCAGATCTCACTGCCAAATGTTGGCCCTGAATTTGCAGCTGAATATTATGTGTGTGGGGGTAGTGTACAGACACGAACAACTCCATGGGCCTAATAGTGACTGTCCATGTCACTGTCAGATTGTCCTAACTCCTGTAGTACCATATTAGGGACAGCAGTGCGAGTAACCCCAATACTAAGGACTAAGCCCCAGGTCCTCCTTCCTTTCACTGGAGTCACCTGGTACTCATCTATCCACACCTTGCTACCCCTGATTTCCATTACCTGAGTAAGAACCCCATTCTTACCTGGGTTTCTCAACAGTGTTTGTTCTACCCTACACGTGACATCTAGAGTCAGTATTGGGCACACAATTTATGACTCCACTTGCCTGCCTCAACCCTTTTGCAGAAGATCACAGCATGGCACAGATCATCCATAGGCCATGACGGACCCAACCCCTCCTCACCTCAGGCTCTGTCCTCACCTCCACTTCTCTGTGCTTGGGCAACCGGCTTCCAAGGAATATATATAGCGCCGAGAGCTGTGATAAACCCCACTCTGTCTGTTTGATTCCTCTGCCTAAGTTGACAAATGACAATGCCATCTTCTTTCAGTGGCAAAAGGATGGGGCCCAGATTAAAAAAAGACCCCCCCCAAAAAAGTCAAACATCTATTTGCTATGAGAGAACACAATAGCAAGACTATCCCTCGGAGTTCTTTGAAGTTAGTTGCTGTCTTTACAATACATATCACAGATTTAGTTCACATTGACTTGTTTTGTGGTTTCTATACTTCACCATAAGCCATAAACTCTAAAAGTGTAGGGATTATGTTATTTTTTGTCCACTGACTGTTTCATAATGGCTATCATTGTGTGCAGAAGAGATTTGGTGCCTTGTAATGTCTGCTGGGTGAAAGAATGAACAAATGAGGGAAGGAAGGAAGGAAGGACAGAAGGAAGGAAAACTGGAGTGAAGATGTGATTATTACTCCTATATTTGCTAGAGTTTTGATTGACACTTCATCATTCTGACCTTCAGTAAGAGTTATTTTTATTTTGGTCAGTTTGAAGATGAATAAGAAAACATATTTTTCCCAGTATGGATGGATTTCAACCTCAAAGTGTCACATACTAAATATGAATGAAGTAAATCATTGAAATTTTTTCATCTGATAAAATATTCACTCTGAAAATTTGCCATGGGGGGGAATATGTATATCTTCTACACATCTCAAATTCAATATTTTAAATCAAAGTCCTTTGAGGAAATTTAGACTCCCAAAATGACTTCAAATGTTCTTAATCATTCTGTAACTCTGAGATCAGCAAGTAGAGAAAAAGTGTCACTTCCTTGTCAATTGCAGCTCACCCCTCCAACAGAGAGGACTGGAATGTGAGGGGGAGCCACAGAACTGGAGCTGACCACAGGGCACACAGCATGGATGCTGCTTTGGCTCAAGCACTCAGGACATTTGTCTTTCCATGACAATATCAGCGACTAAGCGTCTTGTGGACACAAATTTGATTGGCTAACTCTCAAATTGAAAACTATGCCTCTTTCATGACATAGCCACTGCAAGACTCATAAATCGTGATAGTATAGTTGCTGAGAGCAAAGTTGTGATTTGAATGTCGGCAACAATTTTTACTACACAAAAGGATTATTACACATTATAGCAAATAACTAGTTGCCTCATATGGGCCAAACAGCAGGCATGTTCATGTCCTAGGGCTGCCAGATTGAATGCACGACGCCCAGTTAAATTTGGATTTCACATAATCCCTGAATAATGTTTTAGTAGTAGTATGTTCCATTTAACATTATTCAGGGTTTATGTGAAATTTAATTATAAGTGAGCATTCATATTTTTGTTTGTTCTCCTAGAGACCTATTATTTCACATCTAATTTGGCCCTCTCAGCAAAGCTAGTGATGATGAGATGAATACATGTTTGAGTATTTTCACATTATACATGAAGAAACTGAGTCCAGAGAGTAGAAATGATACATATTTCCTGTGGAGTATATGTTCAGAGATGAGAGGATTTTTCACGTCAATTCTCATCGTGAAAGTAAAAGAAAATAATGACAAATTCAAAGTAAACAATAATTAAACACTTATGGCTGAGGAAGCAGTACAATGTGGTGTGGAGGAAAGGGAGTTGTATTTAAACCATTGGCACTCCCTCTTTTTTTCATATGAACTCTTGTAGCAGTCATAAAACTAAGCCAATTTTGGATTAAGAAGAATGAAGTCAACATTGTGACAAGATAAGTGCAATCTACTGCCCATCTGCGGGCCAAGCAGAGGTGGCCTTTGCTCAAAAATGCATGACGTTCCTCTGGTTACAAGGACCATACTCCCTCCTCAGACTCAGCACTGATGCAGATAATCCCAGGCA